ACTGGCAAATCGAATCCAAGAACACATCAAAACAATCATTCACCACGATCAAGTAGGTTTCATCCCAGGGATGCAGGGATGGTTCAACATACGAAAATCCATCAATGTAATCTGCCATATAAACAAGCTGAAAAACAAAAATCACATGATCATCTCACTAGATGCTGAAAAAGCCTTTGACAAAATCCAACACCCCTTCATGATAAAGGTCTTGGAGAGATCTGGGATAACAGGAACATACTTAAACATAATAAAAGCTATATACAGTAAACCAACAGCCAACATCAAACTAAATGGACAGAAACTCAACGCAATTCCTCTAAAATCAGGAACAAGACAAGGCTGTCCACTCTCTCCATACCTTTTCAACATTGTACTTGAAGTTCTAGCCAGAGCCACAACAAAAGGGGATCAAGGGGATACAAATTGGGAAGGAAGAGGTCAAACTTTCACTATTTGCAGATGATATGATAGTTTACATAAATTATCCAAAGAACTCTACCAGGGAACTCTTATAGCTGATTAACACCTTCAGCAAAGTGGCAGGCTACAAGATCAACTCAAGAACATCAGTAGCCCTATTATATACCGATGATAAAAGGGCTGAGAAAGAAATCAGAGAAACATCACCCTTTACAATTGCCACAAACAACATAAAATACCTTGGGGTAACGCTAACCAAACAAGTGAAAGACCTGTATCGCAAGAACTTTGAATCTTTAAAGAAAGAAATTAAAGAAGCCCTCAGAAAATGGAAAGATCTCCCATGCTCTTGGATAGGTAGGATCAATGTCAGCAAGACAAAAAGGCAGCCCACAGAATGGGAAAAAATATTCACTAACCCCACATCTGACAGAGGGTTGATCTCCAAAATTTACAAAGAACTCAAGAAGCAAGTCTCCAAAACACCAAAGGACCCTATTAAAAAGTGGGCTGCAGAACTAAATAGAGAGTTTTCAATAGAGGAGTCTAAAATGGCTGAGAGGCACTTGAGAAAGTGCTCAACATCCTTAGCCATCCGGGAAATGCAAATCAAAACAACTCTGAGATACCATCTCACTCCTGTCAGAATGGCTGAAATCAAAAACACCAATGACATTTTATGCTGGAGAGGATGTGGTAAAAGGGGAACGCTCCTCCATTGCTGGTGGGAGTGCCAACTTGTCCAGCTACTTTGGAAATCAGTATGGAAATTCCTCAGAAAAATGGGAATAAACCTACCACAAGACCCAGCAACTCCACTCTTAGGCATATATCCAAAAGATGCCCCTTCATACAACAAGGATGTCTGTTCCACTATGTTCATAGCAGCATTATTTGTAATAGCCAGAACCTGGAAGCAACCTAGATGTCCCTCAAGCAAAGAGTGGATAGAGAAAATGTGGTACATTTACACAATGGAGCACTATTCAGCAGAAAAAAACAATGGAATCCTGATATTTTCAGGCAAATGGATGATACTGGAAGAAACCATCCTGAGTGAGGCAACGCAGTCACAAAAAGAGAAACATGGCATGTATTCTCTCATCTATGGATTTTAGACTTAGATCTGGTGAGTGCCAGCCTACAATCCTATGGCCAGAGAGTCTGGGAAACAGAAACTTCATTCAGTGGCTGATGGAAGAAGAGGCAGACTCCCACGGTTAAGCACTGAGCTGACCTCAAGAAAACCAGTAACAGAGAGGGAGGACTGATGACCAAAGGGATTAAGACTTGGCTGGTTTAACCCCCAGAATCAGCTGACCTGACAAGGGTTAACTCTTGAATCCCAGGCTGATGCCTGGGAATCCAACATGGGACTGATCAAGAACCCCTGAATGGGGGTGTCAGTGAGGAGTCCTAGGTAATATATTGAGCCTTGGGCAGTAGATCAGTATTAATCCCGGGTATAGACATGGACTTTGGACTCCCATCTAACAATGTGAGATGCACTCTCACCCTGAACTCTTGGGGGATGGTCTAGGCCCTGCCCTGGATAAAATGACAGACTATGGACACCCCCAAGGAGGGCCTCACCCTTCCTGGGGAAATGAGGGGATATTGGGGGGTGTTGGGGGAGGGCACGGGAGGAGGGGAAGGAAATGGAGAGAGACCTGGAACTGACTTGTGAAGCAACCTTGTTTCTAATCTAAATTTAAATTTAAATTAAAAAAAAAGAGTCAAGGAGAGAAGAAAATCGTAAGACAAGTGTTTGAGAAAAGTCAAGGGCAATAAGGGAAGTTCTGACTGGGATGTCTTACCAAGCAGGTTATATGCAGATCCACTAATAAAATCAGTGTGGAACTGATAGGAACATAGCCAAAGAGAACTCACTCAGAAGCTCAGAAAATTGTCTCTCTATATAAATAGTTAAAGTATGATAAACACCTTTCCTTTTGGGAGTAGGAGGACAAACTGTTTCATAAATGGGACTAGCTCAACTGGTACCTTTCTTGTAGGAAAATAAAATGAGTTTGGAAGTGACTTATGGTAGCCCTATAATGAATAAAGCAGTTACCCTCATGGAGAAAAATCACATATGGGTGCTTTGAACCAAACCTGGGTCCTTTGAAAGCATCATGCCTCTTAACCCCTGAGCCATCACTCAAACTGCCAGAAATACATTAATAAGGGGAAAAAAGTGAAAAAGATTTAAATAAGTACTTCATAGAGATCAAGTTAATTGCTCAGTAGACTAAAAGAAAAGGCTTGAGTTTATTTGTAGTCAGGGAAATGAATCAATGAATATTGGAAAGTTTTAAGATATCTGTTACTAACAGATCTGAGAGGAAGTATTGTCATACCTTGTAGATATTATTTTTTCCTTATAGTATTGTTAATGGAATGATGCAGTTTCTGCTAGGTGTGTCAAGGTAAATTTGGTTCATCTGCTCTTGAGATACCATTAGATGTTTTAGGCCTTGAATCACACATAGAAACTGAAGCCTTGCTTTTCCTTATGTGAAATAGAGACACCTCTCCTTAGCTTATCACTTTCTTAAAAAATTCTGTATCAAATAAAGCATAGGTCCCATTTTTGGGACCAGTAAGTGTGAGTCAGGGACTGCTTGGATAGGCCGTGGCCCTTTTAGAAGCAAGAATCCAGGAATAAGAGGACACAAAACTTGGCATTGTATGGAATGAAACTCTAGTTCTGATTTGTAACTTGCAGTAAAGGCCTTATAATGGAGTCTTGGCATTGGTTGCACTCAGCACTTGGATTTAGTTTTGTAGGTGTCAGATACACTGTCCCCTGGAATTTTCTACGATGGGAGGATATTGTGATTCTGTGCATTTCAGTACAGTCATGCATAGTTTTCAAACCCTTGATATGTTACTGTGATTTAGGAATTGAGTTTTTACTTTTATTTAATCTCAGTAATAAAATCTTGGTGTTTTTATTGTAACCCTTGCCTTTTTAATAGTTGAGTCTTGTTCCAGATATTATTTTCATAGTCACTTGTGGACAATGCTCTATTCATCAGAAGAAAAAGTAAGCCACACCCACCAATGAAGATGTCTTTTAAGCCAGTTATAACATATGTCAGGTAAAATACAGTGAGAGATCTACATAGCTTACACTTGCCAAGTTTAAAGTGGATATAAAAGGTTTGATGAAAGATCAGAACAGAAGATGATCACCTTGAGGAACTGTTTATCCCCGAAAGGCTGTGGGACTGACATTCAGGCTGGTGCTCAGCCCAGTAGCCATGCCCTCCTCAGTGCTTTCCCAGGACAGTCTTTCTTTGTCTTTGCATTTTTCTTACCAACTCTGCAGTACTTACCATCTTCAGTCCTTTCTTACAGCTGAATAACTTAAGTCTGCTCTTATTTCTGCTGTGGTTCTTTATCATGGATTTCAGTGCACTCTCTATAAAATGGACTGACCACCTGTCTTCAGTGACCTTTTCCTTGACTAACATGCTAGATACTTTTAGTGCTAACTGATTTTTCTTGGACTTCCTATCAGAATGTTGTGTGGTGATTTAGGGATCCAGATGTGAAAGGATTCTGTAGCCAGAATACTGGGAACTTGCCTCAGCAATCAGTCAGTATGTAGCCTTTGTAAAGTGTGAGGGTCTTGTTGTGCCCTGACCTTTCCTTAATGACTATGAGATACTTTCCTGTTGAAGATTCAGCATTCTGTTTTGTGTATTCCCCTTTATCTCATCAACAAGGCAAATGGGGCAATTTTAAACTCTACATGTATTCTTTTGTTGTTAACATTTCTTTTTCATGATTTGCTGCTGTGGAGCTTTGTGTAAGGTACTTGGAACCTGTCATTATTTAGGAATGAAAGCAAAAGCTATTGTGTGATGCTGACAGTACTCACTGAGTTTTGACTTTATTAGAAAGCCCCTGTATGAATATTTTAGTACATAAACAATTGGCTACATAGAAATTTAAAATGTAATTGTTACTTAATTTTTGGAAAATACATCAAAAGTGAAACGGTCTTAAATTTGAAATTATTTAAAAGAAGAGGGAATTCAAAATTAATTATTGTTATATGGGCTATGGTTTTTCCTAAACAAAGACAATGGATATAGTAAAAATGAAATGTTGATCTGCTTGTTCATTAGGGAACAAGCAGATTGATGAAGCAAACTAAAACAAGCAAAAAATAAATTTATGTGCTGACTTCCATTTTTACTTTTTTGTTTGTTTTGTTCTTTTAATAGATTTTGGTTGGGAAACATAAATTTAAGGGTATAAAGTACGTAAAACAGATGAAAAGAAATAGAAGATTCTGAGAAGTAATATTTTCACAATGCTCCAGGTATATGAAAGAAAAGTTGTGAACATCATAGGTTTCTGAGCTCACACTGAGTGTAGGAACAAATCTGCATGTTTTATGTATTTGAAATGTTAACATTTTCATCTCAGAACAAAGTATACCTTAATTCTTGAAGCTGATAAACAATTCATGTCATGTCAGTTTTACAAAGATCAAAGATATCAGATTGTTGAAATGTTTACCTAAAGTTTTCCATGCCATTTTTTTTGTTTGTGTTTGATAGAGTCCTGTGAAGATAAACCAGATTAGCTTGGATGAAAGTGGAGAACACATGGGCGTGTGTTCAGAGGATGGCAAGGTATGTGATTAAGTGGTCCCGGGGAAAGTTGCTTGGGCAGTGAGTGTTAGATTTTACCCATGCAAGTGATTGGATGCTCTCTGCTTACTTTACACCTGTGTGCAGAGAGCCTTGATTATTCTTTTTCAGTATTGGACTTGCTTTTGATTGCTCATAATTAAAATAAAATATATTTTGCCCAAATGTGCCTTAGGAAAAGTAATTACAAGAATGTCAATAATCTAACTAGTATTAAGCTGATTAACAGCTGTGGCAGGGTGACGTGCCCCCTTAATCATTACTGCTGTGCCACTTTGACTCCAGTGACTAGTCTGCAGTTCCTGCAAGACAGTAGTTTAATGCTTTTCTGCCATAAATCCACAAAATTGGATTTTGTGGGCATGATTTCTGTGGGCTGGTGGTTTTCATTTTAACACGAAAGTTATGAATGTTACTCTTGAATTATAGAATCTTTTGATAAGCAATCATAGTTTATCAGAAGAATAAAGTGTCTTACAATGGCCACATTAAATAAATGTAAAATCAATATATGTACAGTTTTCTAAAAACCTGGCACCTACTTCCTGGACCGAGGACATACATCATTTGTGCAGTATATAGCTAACAACTATCAGTGCTTCTTGCTGATGGTATGCTGTGACATTTAGTGGTTGTGATGATTGATTTTCCACTTGCAAGAATATCTTCTTTGTTTTTAAGTCGATGGAAGTCTTTTCTAATGTTCACTTGCAGTGATAAAATCCTAATGCAGAGTATTTAAGCCCCTTCTCTAAAATACCAGTTTAAGAAGAGAATGCATTAAAAATCATTACATAAGTTTATGCATCCCTTAGTGAATAGAGATTTCCTAATCTAATTTTATACATTTTAAGTGTTCTGAACTCAATGGGCCATTAAAATGAGTAAATTAAAAACAATGTACTCAGGGCAAAAGAGGATATACCCTTCTCTGTCTATCAACAGTGCTGCACTCAGCGTTGTCTATCAGCAGTGTTGCACCATTGATCTGTTAACGAGTACAGCACAAATTCCTCATGACATACATAGTTGTATTTTATTTATCTCAGGTTTATCTTGCCCCCAAAATCTTTTGAAACACAGTTAGAATGCTACTTCTTTTCAAAAAGTACCATCAAAGTTTATAGTACTTCGTGAAATTCTGAGATGAACACGTGTCAAACGAAGAGCTAAGGAAAGTGTTGGTTTGTGTGGAAATTGAAACGAATTTTTGTGCATGTATTTGTAAAGAAAGTTAACTTTAATTTTCTTTCCTTAAAGGCCTAATCATTTGTGAACTTATAGAAGATAGCAGTTTCTTTAAACTAACTGGGAATGTAAGAATTTTCAGTTGGGAACATTCATTAGGGATTCCAGAACTTTCAATGCTGAAGGATTATTACTAATGTATAATAGTGGAATCTCTCAATTACTCCATCTGCTCTTCAATGTGATGACCTGAGAGTTCCCATTGCATCCTTTTAGCAAACACTAAGCTTCCTGGTTTAGAAAAAAATGTATATCTGTATTGTTTTTGTATAGTTTCATGATATATTTTGAAGTGTTTTTCCCCCATATGTTTTCTTAGCATGAATAGAACCATAAAGAATTCTCCCACTACATGTATTTATGTAAGTCAGCCCTACCCAATAGTCAGTGTTGTGAAAACTGGGAGGCTGTATAAAATGATGTATGAAGTGGTTATCTGCCATAAGAACAGAAGGACTTTACTGAGGTCAGCTGTGTCTTTGAGTGGCTGTTACGTTTTTTGCTTTCATCGGTTTATGAGGACTCATATTCAGTAGTTATATTTATTTCACTGTTAATCTTTGATACTTGCGTTGCTTCTTTTTTTTTTTTTTTTTTTTTTTTTTTTTGGTTTTATGAGACAGGGTTTCTCTGTATTGTTTTGGAGGCTGTCGGTCCAGCCGGGCGTCGAACTCACAAAGATCTGCCTGCCTCTGCCTCCCAAGTGCTGGGATTAAAGGCGTGCACCATCACTGCCCGGCTTGCGTTGGTTTTTTTTAAAGTCACCATTCTAGTAGCTGGCTAATTTACACATGTATTCGATACTTGCTCAGTTCTTTCTCATGGCTTCTCTGAGTTTGAGCTCTGCATTTAAGATACTAAGGCATATAAAATGTGTCTGTAATTTCATTTTGGTGGCATGGATTTGTATACAACTTTCAGGATAAGGATTCGGGATCAGGTTTATTTTCTCATCTGTAAAGGGAGACTTCATGTAGAGTATACTAATTTAACAAAACAAATTCTGAGTTGACAAATTTTTCTCTCATATTTTAGAGATAATGCCTGCTTTATTTTGGCACTTTGTAGCATACTTGTTGGTCAACTTACTTTTGTTCTTTAAGAAATCTTTAAAAACAACTCTTGTCCTTTGCAGCTTGGCTAATAATAATAGTAATAACAAAACAAAAATAGTAAACACAGCCTTTGTAATCTGGTTGCTATCCTAAGTCTCATTCTTAACTGCTGTCATTAATTTCATCTGGATCACAGTAGCTCTTTTGATCCATATATTAAAGTATTGCTTTCATTTCAGGAAACTTTACTTCAGTTATAATTTTGATTATTACTTCAGTTCTATTTGTTTCCATTTCTTCAAGAAATTCAATAATATGAGGCTGGAGGCAGTATTGCTGAGAGGCAGAGTGTAGCTGTGTTCCAGCTGCCTGGGCTGGCACCCACCTCTGCTGTCTTAATGGTGGTGTGCTGTCTGACTTGTCAGGTACCTCCTTCTATAAGGATTATGTGCACAAAGAGAATCCCACTCCAATGTACAGTGACTGTCTATTTCCAGGCTTTCATTTCTAGCCCACTGCAGTGTGGACTCTTCCCTACTTCCACTTTTCTACCTAAACTTTTGCATGTGTCAGGACAAATGAACACATACTACCATAAAAATGCATAGCTCACAAGAAGAATTGGATGCATCAACTGAGTCAGCCCTGGCATACTGGTTTTGCTGTCATGTTGGTCTTGTCCTTCAATTTTTCTGAGGTAGGCAGCTTCTTTACTTGTTTAAATGTTTAGCTGCTTGGCTTTCCTTCCAACATAGTTTTATTTCTGTTCCCTTTGGGTGTGGGTTTGTATGCCATTTTCCACTTTTAGTTTTTCTTTGGGTATCAAGCAGCATGGTCTAGGGATTCATATTTGAAGTACACTGTTGTGTTTTGTGTATTGCTAAGTAAGCGTATTTTTTTCTGTGCCTCGTTTTGTCTCATCCTTTGTAATACTTACCTACTTCTGACTACTGTGAGGACTTATGGGTTAACTTTAGTCACTTGGTTGAGAAGATCCATATGGTAGTTGTTAACCCTCCTTTTAATGGCAGTCACCATTACTCTTTATGTGGCTCAGAGATGTTTGGAAACCTCTTGTTGAGACTTATAAATAGCCTTTGGATTTTCCTTTGGCTTCTGAGTACTATTAAGGCATGTTTAAATACATTGTTGTTTTTTTTTCCCTTTGAGTCTTTGGAATGGTGTTCTGCAATGTTTAAGACATCACTTATGTTTCTGTTTGCTTTTTTAATCTATTCTAGCAAGAACCATGTTGGCAAACAGATTCAGTGCTTAGCTGACTCTTGGTGAGCCTAACTTGATTTTGTGAAGTTGTAGTAGTTACTTTCTGTTGCTGTGATAAAAAGAGTGACCAAAATTAACTGGGAGAGAAAAGGGTTTATTTGCCTGTGTTATGACATCATCAAGGGAACTTAGAGCAGGAACTCAAGTAGGAACCTTGAGATAAGAACTGAAGCACAGACTGTGGGTGAACACTGCTTATTGACTTGCTTCCCAGATTGGTCCTCATGGCTTTCTCAGCTGGTTTTGTATATAACCTAGGTACACCTGCCCAGGGCTAACACTGTCCACAGTATGTTAGATGTTCCCACATCATTTGTCAATCATGAAAATCCTCCACAGGCCAGTTGATGGAGGCAGTTCCTCTACTGAGGTTTCTCTTTCCAGGTAACTCCTACATGTGTCAAGTTGACAGAAACTAACCAGCATGGAGCTATTATAGAATCACTTTCCTATATCCAAAAGAAAGGCCTGCATATGAACTAGATCTTCTTTGAATTGAGGAATTTGGTGATGAAGTTGCTTTTTGCCAGAGAGAAATAGAGGCTTCTCTTGTGATCTCTTTTAGCCTCAGATGTTCCATGTTGATGAATAGGATGGAGGAGAGCAGTCTCTCCATTTACTGTCCAAGATAAGATGCCAGCTCCCAAGAGTGCCCCTGCCCTGCCTGTTTTCCTGATATTATTTGGAAGCTGGGAGAATGGTATAGTGCTTTGGCTACCTCAGTCATAGTTCCTGTATATGTGGCAGGCTACTGCCTGGTGTTATAGTTGACAAATGGTAGAATTCCATACAAAGTTAATCTTACACCCTCCTGTTTTATTCATAAGGGTAGGTAAAGTATATGTTCCATATCTCTGTGATACTCATGTGGTTGTCTGGATGGTTGTTCATGAGAACTCCTACAGGACTTTTCAGTAGATTGGCTGTAAGATATTTGTGAGGAATTCTCATTCATTCATTCATTCATTCATTCAGTCTCAGTCTTAGAGTCAGTTTCTCTTTCTTCATCTCTCTCCTCTTTGTGCCTCCCTCTGTCTCTCCTCCCCCTAGAAGTTCTTGTGGCAGGTTGTTAGAGCTGCTATAGATAATACCATTTTCAAAAGAATACTTTCTGTTGTGACCTTTAATTTTCTAATCTTTACCTTAACTTTGATCTTTCTAGAAGTCAAAACTCTGAGCTGTCATTCACTGGATTCCCTTTACCGCTTAGTATACTCTTCAGTGACCAATAGCCACATTAATCAGGAGTGATGGGGAAAAGAAAACGGGACTGTTTTGGTAGCTTTAGTAGTGTAACTTGTGAGTCTGTACCTTAGGGTATGTCATCACTGAAATGAAGCACAGTGTCCACAGCTTTCCAGAGCACCACAGTGCTGACACTGATACTGTTGATATCTCACTTAGGAAGTACAGTACGTTCTGTGTGTTCAGTTAAGCTTACTGTTAATAATAGTGGACCTGGGGTTTTTGTTGTTTTGTTTTGTAGAAAGGGTCTCATTTTGTAGCTTAGGCAAGCCTGGAATTTGAGATTCTCCTGCCTCAGCCTTCCAAGTACTGGTATTACAGATGCATGCCTATCTTTATAAGAGTTCTCATCTTCCTGTCACCTTTAGTGGTTCCTCTTACAGTGTTTTTTAACTATAAGAAGGCACTCTCCTTCTGAGGAGTTCTCAAGGACAGCGCTGAGCGTCAGTGCCTGTTTCGTAAGAGCTTGTTTGACTTTGTTCCCTTTGTGTTTGTCACAGTTGGGCTTCCAGTCTGATAAATAGGCTTTCATAAGGATACAGTGTTGGTTGTCAATAGACAATTTATATCTCACCCACTGTCTAAGTCATACTTATTTATTTGAATGAATACTGTTACTTTACTTCACCTCCTGTGAAAGCTCTCTTAGTTCAAACTCAGACTCCACCTCCTTTATAGTTTGACAACTAACTTTTCAATGTTGCTATCCTATTCTCCTCTTTCACCTAATGAGAAAAGGAACTTTCCTTCTTTGTAGATTGGAAGTTGTCTGATGTGATGATATCTTAGGGAAGAATGGGCTTTGGAGAACTTGGATTCTGGCCACAGCTCTTGTTTTTAATGACCATATGCAAGTCTCTATTTTTCCAGCAGAATCATCTCTTTAACAAGAACATTTGTATTGGCCATAGCATCCCTAGCAGAAGTCTAGAGTAAGATCCTTAGCCCCTTGTTGATTTCCTCCATTACAATTCAGTGACACAGGGCCTGCCTTACTGTGCAAACTTGCTGGTCTTCATCAAGTTTCCCCATGGCAAAGTAAAGGTCTATGTGTAGTGCTTTGCTGAACACAGTGCTTAACTGTTCTGCGTCAGAAGTATCATTTCCAGGAATTTATAGAAAAGCAATGGCTTTGTACCCTCCCAACAGTAAGAGCCCAGTGGCAGTGGCATGTGGATTCCGTTCTGAGAGACTTCTGTGTGTCTCTTTGTGTCTTGCTAATCTGGGGCTCTAAAAATTCTCATAAAATTAGAGGAAGGACTAGCAAAGATTTGGTTAACTTGCTTGTTTGAACTAAGCTCTGTTTATGTATCTCCAGAGTGACCTCAAATTAGCAATTCTCCTGTTTCATCTTCCTGGTTATTGGGTTATAGGCATAGGCATGTACACCACACCTGCTCAAAGGTTTTCTTTTTTATAATGTGTGGATTTGTCTCGTCAGAGAATTCTCTGCTTGGGAGTTGGGAGAATCAGCCATTTACAACTTGCCAACATTAAAGGCAAGAAAAAAATTGAGTTTGAGTAGTCTTTATCAGTACAAAAAATGAATTTGTCACTAGAAACCACATAAAGAAATCTCATTAGACTGTGTTGATTTAACAGAACATGTGTAGCCTGGGCAGTCTATAGCAACAGAAAGTTATTTCTCACAGCTTTGTGGCTATGAAGATCTGGGATCAGTGTCTGGAGAGAAATGTCTTCCCTGTTCCCAGAGGACACTGCTACAGTCCTCGCCTGGTGTGAGGGATGCATCTGTCTCCTTAGTGGCAGAAACCGGGCAGCAAAAGTGCCTATTTAGATCCTTTTATTCCTTTTATAGTGGCACTAGTGTCCCTTTCCTGAGCAAACCACTTACCAAAAGCTTTCCCTCTTAATACCGTGACATTGGGCATTGGATTTCAACAGAAAAGTTTGAGGGATACAAACATTCAGACCAAAGGCTTATGCGAATGGCCTCATAGTACAAAAGTAAAGAAGAAATTCTGTTAGAGACCAGAAAAAGCAAACCTGTCACAGGTGCTGGGATAGTAAGTACATGCCCTAACACTGTAGTTTAGCACTCTTCCGTTCTCATGCTCTTCTGGTAAGACTAAATACTAATTAGAAACAAGCTGTTAGGCCTGGAGAGATGACTTAGTGGTTAAGAGGACTTGCTACTCTTACAGAGGACTGGGCTCAACTCCCAGTACCTATATGGTGGCTTGCAACCATCCGTGACTCCAGGTCCAGTGGGTCTGACACCCTCTCTTCTGACTTCTCCAGGCATCAGGCATGCATGTGATGCACATGTACACTCGGGCAAAACACTCATATATATATTTAAAAACCTTGAATAACTAAAACAAGTCTGTCATAGATTTAGTCCATCAAATATGAACATAATAATAACCTGTGACTTAACATTCTCACCTCTTGTTAAATGGGCCTCATACACGTGTGTGAGTTCACCAGGAGATTTGGAAAGAATGTCTGCAGAATCCCTGTTCATAAAAGCCCTGAATGGTGCTAAAGCAAGTGGCTGTCCGTAGAAGGAGAACATGAATTGTGACGTAGTCGCATGCTGCCACCTTCACAGCATCAACAAAGAGCCAACCGCTGCTGTTGTGAGCCACCGTGTACAAAAAGCTCACAAGGGCGGTTTTAGAAGGCGCCCCAGGGGAATGGCGCATGCTTGCATTTTTGTGAAACTTAACTGGCAGTGTGACTTGCACACAGTGATGGGTCCCAGGGTAGTGGTGGGTTTCAGGGTATCACTGAGAAATACAGTAGAGGAGCTCCTTGAATTCTGTTTTTTCCCCCTTTTGGTTTTTTTCTTTCCTTCCTCCTTTACTCCTTCCTTTCCCTCCGACCTCCATTCTTTCTTTCTGCTTCTTTGTTTTTCCCTCAGTTGGACACAGATGCATGATCCTCCAGCCTCAGCCTCAGAATATCAAGATTATACTCACATCTGACTTAAATTCTCTTTCTTGCTCTGGCTAATGGTAGAAGAGTCAGATTTATGTCACAAATGTGGCAAGCTAAAATCTGTGAATTTATCCTTTGTGTTATACACATTAGACCTAATTTGTTTTTGTTATGTTATTTGCTGTGATCAATTCAAAAACTGTGAGGAAATATAACTGAATAAAGTGACTCAAGACAGCTTGAAAGTAAACACCAATGAAGGACAAGTTAAATACTTCATTTACACATGGAAGAGATTCAGCATATGATTTTAATGATCTTATTTTATTCATTCTTTTGTGACATCAATGTGTATGTGTGCATGGGTGTTTATGTGTCCTGTGTTTGTGCATGCATGTGTATGCCTGCAAATGTATGTATGTGTGTGTATACATGTTTGTGTGTGTATGTGTGTCTGTGAACCGTGTATGCATGCATGACTCAAGAAAGGAAGTTCCTTTCTCCTTATAGGAGGAAAACAGTTCCATTAGGCTGTGGGAATTTCATAAAAGAATGTTAGTAACCTGCCCATATCTATTTCATTTCTGAAAGTTGGTATCTGTTTCCTAAATTGGGTGAGTAAAGGGAACTCTATCCATGTGATACTTGTAAAAGCTTTTTTATTTTCATTTTAAAAATTAAAATATAATTACACTATTTCCATTTTCATACTCTGTCTCCTCCATGTACCCCACCCATGCCAATCATGGCCTTTGGCCTCTCTTTCTTTAAGATGCTTGTAAAAGCTTTGTTGCCAAAGAGTGCTCTACACTGATGGGCTAGTTTGCAATGGGTACTTTATAGGGGTCATGATGACTTAGAATCATTGGAATGCCTCACTTTTCTTTTCCTTTCCTTTTCCTCTGCTGACTTGGCTCTCCCTGTTACTATCGTGATAAACTGATGTGATGTGTTCACTTCTCAGGTACAAGTATTTGGACTATATTCTGGAGAAGAGTTTCATGAGACTTTCGACTGTCCCATTAAAGTAAGTACTTAGCAAGTTTTCCCTCATGAGGAAGCTTTCTCCCCTAGATGAGGATGACTTTAGTGATTGAGACAATGTCCATTCTGTTCAGTCCATGGTGTGCTGGTATGCTGGACTGAGACCAGATGTAGAATGCGTGACTGCCTCAGCCTGTGCTCTGGGAACTTTTAGTAGAGTGTAGGAATCACACATACCATTCTGACCAAAGAGTGACAAGGTAAAAACAATCTCAGTAAGTTCTCGGATGAAAGAAGTCATGTTTAGCTACATTGGCTGGTGGTATTGTGTTTTGCTTTTGAGTGATAACTTCGTAGGTTGAGTGATGACTGGCTGAGCTTTGAGACAGACAGGAACAGGTGGGAATCAGTTTTCCATGTAGAAGAACATATTAGAAATGGAGAGGCCAGTCAGTTCCAACTGTGTTCAATAAGTGGCAGAAAATCTTGCCTAGATGTGCATGACCAAGTAAAGAGGCAATTAAAATCCGACTAGAGCAGGTTGGATCTTCAGACTAAGGAATCTGGTTTCCATCTAATAGATTATTAAGTGCCTAAGAACAAGAGTGGTATAGATAGAACGTGGATCTAGAAGGGCTAATAACTTTGTGCAGTAGAGATGGCAAGTCTATAGGCAAGAGGCACGGAGATATCTGGAGATAACAATCATGGTAAAGTATCTGTTGTACTCTTCAAAGAGGTGATTCTCTTTCACATGTTTATTCAAACTGTGATTGCCCAGTAGTAAAGGGTAGATAAGATCCTGAGTCCTACCCTTGAGTGAGACAGGCACTGGGAAGGAGGCGTGGCTCAACCGATGCAGACATGGAGGAGCAGTTAGTACATCGGCCCTCCTGGCTTGTCTTTCTGTACCTTTGTGTGTGTGTGTGTGTGTGTGTGTGTGTGTGTGTGTGTGTGTGTGTGTGTGTTAATATTTTTGAGGAGAGATGCTTGTTGCAGGTTATGAGAGAACTTGCAAGACTCCTTAGAGATTTTAAGAACTTGGGGTAAGCAAAGTGTGTTTCTGTGTTGGAAGTTAGGATGGGTTAGGGCGGAGCTGAAGTGAACACAGACCAAACAAACAGTAATGTTCACAAGAATGAGAAGATGTATGCTAAACGCTGGTGATGACGGTGTAGAGAAATCCATTAACCTGTCCGGCTGGAGGAGGGAAATGTATTAGTTAATTATAGAAATGTGAAATGTGTTCAGCTAAAAGTAAAGTTTTTGATATAATTTATACTTGGGGATGGAAAGGTGAAAAGGTAGAAACTTGTGTTCAAAGAGATGGGTCTCAAAGAAAGTGAGGCTGATGAGAGCCCCTGAAATGTCACTGCTGCTTTCCTCCTTCAGGGCAGTGGTAGAGCAGCCTCAGGGGAGTCCTGCACATGGCCCGGTTCCCTGGGTTCTTCTAGGCAGTATGCTTAGTTACTGAGGTATCACTTCTGTGGTCCACCTGTCTTCATGCCTTTAGGCGATGATTGTGCTCAGAGCGCCTCACTCCACCAGAAACTAGACCCTTCACTCTTGTGTAGCTTTGATTTTGCTTCAGAGAATGCATTTTATCACACAATAGCAAAATGTCTTCAGCAGTCCCACAGCCTTACCTGAATGCATTGCTCCCTGCCGAGGTCCAGTCTTTAGATAGTGCTGCTCAGAGTGGACAAAGGGTTCTCAAGTGTACCTGTGACTTTTAAACTGGGCCTGGGCACTTTTTCTTTTGTAGATCATTGCGGTGCACCCACAGTTCGTGAGATCCAGTTGTAAGCAGTTTGTGACAGGAGGGAAAAAGGTAATGCTGGGTGTCTCTGCCAGGATGTGTGCCCTGTGACAAATGATGGTGTAATGAAACTGTGAGACTTTCAGCCTCAGTTAGTTCAATACCTTCCTTTGAAGTAGGTAACACCTGAAGTATGAAAGTAATGGCTCTTACACACACACAAGGCAGCATTTAAGAGTAACAAATACTATTGAATTAGGAATTGTTCTTCTTGTTTGTGACAAACCTCCTGTAGGCTGAGGTAGTGTGAGGAGAGTTACTACTACTCCTAACTGATATGTTCATGGCACATGGTATGTTTTCAGTGCTATTCAGAACTTTCCTGAGCATCTGTTTGTTATAGAAATAATGAATCCTGATATTAAAGAGTCATAGGGTCTGTTATTAACAGAGTTTTAAAAACTTTTCTTAATAAGAAACACTATCACATACTAGAAATGAAAATGTTACTTTGTATAGAGCCCTTGAAAAAGAGGTGGTGAATGATTTCAGTAGTTATGTAGCTGTGAGATGGTGGCTGTGAGGCCCACATTCCAACGCATCCAGAATGTTTCATGAGGTGAGTCACTTGTGTTCTTATAGTACATACAATGAGGTGCCAGGGAAGCACACCGCTCATCCCTCTTTATTCTCAAGGTTAATGTGGCAGACCTGGGGACCCATTCTGTGGCACATAATCAAGGTGACACCAGCTCTGATTTCTTCATAGGAATTACCCTTTACCTTCCCACCTTCTAGCCCATTGCCATCTTTTGGTTTAGCTCCAAGCACAACAAAGTGTTTATGTTGTTAGTAATGGTACTCTTAGGCTTAATCTGATATTCCCTGCCTTAGGCAGAATTAAGTACTTCTTTGTCTTTGATAACTCTGAGGAAGAATAATTTTAAAACCCTCTTATTTTATTATTAAGCAGGTTAGGAGATTTTGTTTTCATAAATTCACTTCACTTTGATGGCAACCCATGAATTCGGTGAGAATGAAGAGTTAATGATCTGCTGCCATTTTTAAATATGGCTTAAAGCAGGACGCTTATATTAGTAGTTTGGGATCTATTATTAGGTGCTGGTGGAGGGTCTAGGCAAGCACTCCACAGCAGGATACATCCCAGCATGGGTGCTGCTCTTGAAGCATTCTTGAGCTCTCTTTAAGAGGCCATTATAAAGTCTTCAGCGTGTTAGGAGCTTTATGGAATGTGTATGTGTCCTTTATCTAAAGAGTGTGACATGCCTACTGTTGATTTGTTTCCTTGTATCCATTGAGTTTATTATGTAAGTCTGCACTTTGCTAATAGTAAAATGTTGCATTTGTTTTCATAAACTCTGGTGACATCTTTAGTTAAATGATATTTCAAAATTTACTGGGTTGGTGTAGTTGTAGAAATCTCTAGAACATTTCTTTCTTCTGTCATGCAGTATACATGTTTAAAGATTTCCTTTGCTACATGCTTTTCACATTATTGTGTTTTATTGTAATGTGTATTTAATTGAAGATATCATTTAATTATTATTATTTACTTATATACAGGTTCTCTTGGAATTAGTTATGTAGACCAAATTGACCTTGAACTCACAGAGAGTTGTCTGTCTCTGTCACCCTAGTTCTGAGACTAAAGGCCTGTGCCAGCTACCATGCTTAGGCTAAGAAATATATTTTGTTTGTATGGGTGCTTTGCCTGCATGCATATCTGTGTACCACCACCATAGCTTGACTAAGAAATTTATCTTGTTTTTTAAACAAGTTATGTGTATGGGTATTTGTATAGCAACACATGCATTCCTGATACCCTTAGAGTCCAGAAGAGGCTATCTGATTCCTTGTAACTAGAGTTACAGATGGCATGAACTACCCTGTGGGTATTAGGATTCAGACTTGTGTCTTCTGGAAGAATAGCCAGTGCTCTTAACCACTGAACCAGCTTCAGCACCTTGATTTTTTTTTTTTTAAGTAAGAAAAGGCTTTTAAGCCGGATGGTGGTGGTACACACCTTTAATCCCAGCACTCAGGAGGCTGAGGCAGGTGGATCTCTGTAAATTCAAGGCCAGCCTGGTTTATGGAGTGAGTTCCAGGTAGCCACAGCTTTTACACAGAGAAACACTGTGTGAGGGGAAAAAGGCTTTTATAGAGGATGTTAAGTAGTGGCTGTTATTAGTGATTAATTTCCTTTGGAATTAATGTTGGCAAGCTATAACTAATTGAGTTATAGATGTTTATAAACCTTGACAAATGAGGAAAGCAAAGATTGCTTTGGTCCAAAAGCAAAGTCTTATAACTGGAGTTTTAAACTAGAACCAGAAATTATTAACAAAACCAACTGAAGAGTTCAGCATTTAGCAACTATTGATAACCCTTCAATAATCATGTGTTGTGGCGATATATTATTTATGATTTATTAAAGCTTGCTTGCCTGAGGATTCAGAAAGTAAAGTCAGCCTCAATCTATAGAGATCATGCAGGGGGGTACACACCTTTAATCCCAGGACATGGGGGACAGAGGTAGATGGATCTCTCTGAGTTCAAGGCTACCCAGAGCTACCTACACGAGATTGAATTAGTCTAAAAGAGTAATAGAGCTCATGCCTTTAATCCCGACACTAGAATGATATAAAAGACAGGAGCAGGGTCTCCAGTATTCAGTAGTCCATCTCAGGATTCTTCAGCCATGTTGAGGAAAGCATAGAAGTCTGGGATTAAAGTCTGAGGTTTGGTGGATCCAGGATCACCTCTCAGTCTGAGGTAGAGGTAAGAGCTAGTGGCTGGCTGCTTTGCTTTTCTGATCTTTGGCTTGAAACTTTAATAAATCACAAAGAATATATCACCACAATATGTCTTGAGCACCATGAGTCCGAGGTAAAGAGTGGGAAGCAGATCACATAGAAGAAAATAAAAGGCAAATACTGTGCAGTTGAGAGGCTTGAGTCAGAAATAGCTTAACATTCAAAAACTTAGAATGCTCAGATGGGGGTATGATGTAGAAAAGATGTGTTTTTACATATAAGAACACTAATTACACGCTTGCTTTCCTATAGTCCTTTACATTATGTTTCAACTTCCAGAAGCAGGGATGAAGTGGCCCATAGGCTGAGGAAGGAAGAGGCAGGTAGGATAGTGAAGGTCTGATGATATATGGGCTATTCATAAGACTAGTAGACTCCTACTTAATATTTTAGTTTTTAGAATATTTTTAAAAGATTGATTTATTTCTGTATTTTATATACATATGGGTGTTTCATCTTAACAGCAGAAGAGAGCTTCAGATCCTGTGGGACTACAGTTATAGATGGTTTTGAACCACCATGTGGGTGCTGGGAATTGAACTGAGGACCTTTGGAAGAGCAGCTAGTACTCTTAACTGCTGAGCCATCTCTCCATCCCCTAGTTGTTTAAATCTTATTAAAACTGATTGCTTAAAAAGTTCTGAAGTAATTAAAATTTGCTTTTCAAAGTTGTGTGGCATGAAGATGGTGTCGTGGTGGAAAAGTCAGTGGCTACCATGGCCCTGTTTCATCTTTTTTTTAAGACCCTAACTCCTTGTCTTGGAAGACAGTGGCTTATTCACAGTGGACTGGGAACAGCAGGCCAGCATGCTGCCAGGCAAGGACTGTTTTTAGGTTCTCAAGGTAACTTCTTAGTAGTCGAATGTTGCAGTTGAATTTATGGACTTCATTGCTTGTCACAGGTGCATAAAAAGTTTATTCAAAACTCTGCTTCATTTCCTTGTTGAAAAAAGAAAGAAAGCAATGGAGAAGCCCATCTTTTAAAAGTGTCATCAGAGGGAGTGCTAAGGTACAGGAACCGATGTGGGTTTTTGTACATGTAGGAAGAAGTCAAATAGATGAGCATAGACAGTGAGTTTCCGCTTTAGACATAATGCTGCCCAGTGCGTCCTGTCTGGATGCTTTTTTTAATTGTACAGCTTTCTCTGTCAGCAGGATAATCACTTCGGTAATAACTGATTCTACTTCTTTGACAAATATTAGCTCACTGTGACACTGTTTACAGTGAGGATCTTTTGTAGAAGTCAGATAGTCAGCTACTTGGCATTGCTGACTTGGGATAAAGTAAAGGCTCCTGGGTGTGGACACAGGTTGCTTTACATGCTGAAAAGTGTCAGTCTGCAAACAGAGAAAGGACCTTTGTGAATGAGATGAGGACACTCACTCTCCTGTTCTGGACTGGAGGCTTTGTGTGTGGTTGTTTGTTTTGTTTTGTTTCAGGGGAGGATGGTTGCACCATATCCTGCCTGTAGGCTTCCAGTGGTGTTCTGCAAATAAAATTACATTTGAATATTCTAAAGGATGATTCAGTAAAATAAGTTCCTTGAATTACAATTTTAACAACATTTTCTAGATTACTTTATTTTTTTCCCAGTTTTATTGGGGTGTATTTAAAACATCTAATACAATATGAGGATTCAATCAAACATACCTAGTCCTCTCATATAGTTACATTTTCTTACATGTGATAAGAAGACTTAAGATCTAGTCTCTCAGTACATTTCAATTAAACATTTATTAAATACCAGCCCTCTACCATTCATTGGATCCTTAGAACTTACACAGCTTGAGGTGGAGAATCTCTACCCTATACCCAACACCTCCATTTCAACCACCCCAGCTATAAATATTTTTAGCGGTGAAATTGCCAAGGAACCTTTTCGTCCTGCTGCAACCACTAAACACAGTGTGGAAAGGCCCTTCCTTATGTGCTTGCTTAGATTTTTGTCTGATTGGCCCTGGGTGTTTTATGGTTACAAGGGTTTAGACACTAGCTAAGTACTCTGTGTACAGTCCAAGGATGTCGCTGTCCAGGATAGTTGTGAACATTGTCATGTTATGACCACAGACAGCCTATACCATCTCACATAGTTCTTCCATTACACTCTTCAACTGAGCATTTGTGAAGAAATAACAATACGTGCTTGAAGACTTCCTGGTCAAGTCAGTATTAAGCCACGAGACATCATCAAGTCTATGTGTTACACAAACCATTTTTCTGTCAAATAAAACCAAATT